GTGCATCCCCAAGGACTTACTTCACAGTTCTCAATCTCTAATCGCTTGTTCTGGGGATACTGGTCATGTGTCACATGTACGTTACACTGGATTTGGATTTATCTCCCTCTTCAATTTCCCCAAAACCACTCCAAATGATTGATGGAACTTTTGAGAGCTCTGGGGAGGAGGGTGCCCCTGCTGTTCATTGCAGTCTCCAGCCTCTTCCTCTATTCCTTGCTTTCTTTCCCCTGAGGCTCTCAGGGGCAAAACTCCCTCTTTTTGGTTCACTCAGAGCAACTTCTCTTCCTCTGAAGTATCAGCCTCAGTCTGTAACCATGTTCTGGGGGCGTTTCCTACTTCAAAGGGGGTTGGTTACCAGTGCATTTTCTTGACCAAAGTTCTTTCATCCATGGGTAAGATTCTTTAATTTTCTTCCAGTAGTAGGGACTGAACCCAGGGCCTTGCACATTGCTAGACAAGCTCTCTACCTCTGAGCTATATCCCCAGCCCTTGTTTTAGCGTTTTAGAGAACAAGAGTGTTTTATCTTTTCTTGTAATACTTGTTCAAGACCCTGTGCTGGGGGCTGGGGATGATTGCAGCAACCCTTTAAGATATCAGTTCTATTTTGCAGAAGAGAAAACTTGGCTCAGAGAGATAAGAGCCCTGCTATACATACTGGGCTCTGAAGAGACTCAAAGAAACTTTCTGCATTTTTGCCCATTGCTTCTTTAAAGCCCTCTTGTCAGGAGTTAAAGGACATTTGCCCGGAAGCCAAGCTCTCCAGGTAGTCCAGGTCAAGGGAGAGAAGCCTCAGGCCTGGAGCTACTGCTTCCTCAGTCAGGTGACCCTGGTCTTTCCCACGCTCTAGGAGTCTCAGGCTTATGTGGATTTGAGTTTTGTTTTGTTTTATTTTGTTTTCTTTTTTTTAAAATATGGCCCCCAAGTTCTAGTGCCAGATATGCCAGAGACTCATAGTGTGACATTGGGCACTTTCGTGTCCTTCTCTAGCGTCTAGTTCCTTTATCTTCACAATGAGGAGAATCTCTCTCTACCCCATCTACTATACTTCATATCTCTTCCCTGACCCATACCCTATGGTCCTAAGGGAACGTCAGATACAGGAAAAAAAGGGCCCCTCTGTGAAGCACTTACTGTGTGCTAAGTACTCCTCACATCACCTGCCAATCTTCTCCACATCAATAGGTAGCTACTACCATCCATCTGTTCCACAGAGTGAGGAGATGGAGGCTTAGAGGGAGTCAGTGGTGACCCAAGTTAAGTGGCAGAATTGAGATTCGAACCTGGATTTTTCTATCCAAGTTTGGTTCCAAAGACTTTTAACCATCACATCAGCTATGTCCCCCAAGTGCCAACTCAGGCTGCTGGTAACTCTCAGTGGCTGCTTGCACATGAACATGCACACATGTGCTCTCCTGGGGGAAAGTGTGTGCTCACTTGGCCCACGTCAGAGGGCGAATAGCATTTCTAAAGTTAGCCTCAGGACATCTGGTCATCTGATCCAAATCCTCATGGTGTGGAGAGGAACATGCTCTTGTGTTACCCAGAGTTGCTTTTTCACTTTCTTCTCTTTCTGTCCCAGCTCATTCCCCCATTTCTGTTTGGGCCTCATTCACCTGGAATTACCCCTTTCTCTCATACAAGACTGAAAAAAAATCCACTAATAAAGTTCTTACTTTCCACTCCCTCCCAAATGGCCACCTCTGTTCCACAGGACTGACAGCTCCTTCCATAAGCTGGTTGAAGTAGGTGTATATGGGTGAGGTCTTCACTTTAGGATGGCAAGAGCTGGAAATCCCTGTGTGTCGGAATGAGGAGGGGTGTGTGTGTGTTAAAGTCAGGTACCCATCTTCCTTCCTTGAAAAGAATAGGAATACCCTCCCCCGCTTTTTTGGTATCAAGGATTGAACTCAGGGGCACTCAACCACGGAGCCACATCCCCAGCCCTATTTTGTATTTTATTTAGAGACAGGGTCTCATTGAGTTGCTTAGTGCCTCACAGTTGCTGAGGCTGGCTTTGAACTCATGATCCTCCTGTCTCCGCCTCCCAAACCACTGGGATTACAGGCGTGCACATCTGTGCCCGGCTTAGAATAGCCCTTTAAAAAAACACTTAAATGTGCCCATGAATCACCCTTCTGGTTCTGAACCACTAGCCGTTTTTGGCAAGATATATGTTATGTGCTGGGTGGGGATTTGCTTTTGTATATATAAATACTCAGATTTTTATACTGACAGCTCAACCTTGAACTCCTCTGATGAACAGGATTAAAAAAAAATGACATTTAATTTCCAACCTGATAGAATCAGGGCCCTGTGCTTCCTGTTTTCAGCCCATTCCTGTCCTTTAAGACTTTGAATCCTACTTCCCTGACTTTGACCCTGGTGCTGGCTAAGGACTTTGAAACTTCCTCTTGCCTTGGGTGTGCCCTCTGTTTTGTCCTGCCTCCTGTTTCGTCCTGCCTCACCAGTTTGTTTGCAGTAGTCATCTAACTTTAATTGCCAGATTTTTGCTTTGTCCACTCAACAGCCCTGTCACTCCCCCCACCCCCAACTCATGTCTACTCGGGCCTCTGCAAGCGAAGTTACAGGCCTGACTACATTGTGTGGGTTAGTGATTCCTTGAACCTCAGACTGTGAGCTCTTGAAGGGGGGCATTGATCATATTTAGCTGTAGCACTTGAGCTCTGTTAGCAAGGAGTGCAGAGAGAATTCCTGGGACACTGAGCAGGAGCTCACAGTCCAGGGAAGGACAAAAATAGGTAGCACTCACCTCCTGTGGAGAACAAATGGTAGCCAGCATGTGGGGTAGATTCCTCACCTGCCTCTGAGCTCCTTCTTAAGATAGTGGTGATTGATGGGTCATTGTTCACATTCAGGTTGTTTTTGATGCAAGGAACAGAAACCAAGATCTGCTAACTCTGGCGATCAGAAAGAAAAGGGGGGATACCACAGGTCCACTGATGGGTGGTGAGACAAACAAAATGTAGGGTATACGAACCATAGGAATACTGCTCGGCCTTAAAAAGAATGAGGTTCTGACATATTACAGCATGGATGACCCTAGAAGACAGTACGTTCAGGGAAGTCAGTCAGTCACTAAAGGACAAACACTGTATGATTCCATTTAAATGAACAACCTAGAGGAGTCAACTTCATAGTGACAGAAAAATAGAACGATGGTGGGGGAGGGGAGAATGGTGAGTTGATAGGCAATCGGCACAGAACTTCAGTCTGGGGTAATGAGAAGGTTCTAGAGGTGGTAGGGGTGATGACTGAACAACAATGTGAGTATACTGTATGCTTAAAATGATTAAAGTGATTTATTTTATTTTTTTAAAGAGGGGGGGGAGAGAGAGAGAGAGAGAGAGAGAGAATTTTAATATTTATTTTTTTTTTAGTTTTTGGCGGACACAACATCTTTGTTTGTATGTGGTGCAGAGGATCGAACCCGGGCCACACGCATGCCAGGCGAGTGCGCTACTGCTTGAGCCACATCCCCAGCCCAGATACATTTTATATTAATATATTTTTTAATGCACACATGAACACACATCCCAGAACTGATCTAAACCAGTGAAGGTTAATCCAGGGGTGCTAAGGGCCACTGTGGCCCTTCAACATTTTTTTTTTTTATTTTTATTTTTATTTTTTATTTATTTATTTATTTAAGTTCTCGGCGGACACATCATCTTTGTTTGTATGTGGTGCTGAGGATCGAACCTGGGCCGCACGCATGCCAGGCGAGCGCGCTACCGCTTGAGCCACATCCCCAGCCCCCATTTTTTTTTTTTAAAGGAGGAAAAATGGTCAGGGTGCTGGGGTACCTCATGGAACTGAAAGACTAGCCAAACCCCTCATCTTGGAGAAGGGCAGGAAGCAGAGCAGCGTCAGGAACTTCAGGGCAGAAGTTCATAGGTCTCTTCCTTTGGAACGCTGCCAGAATTTCACCTCTGCTGCAGACACAACTAGTCTGTTTCTCAGGTTCAAATTTCCAGTCTCTCTGAGAAAGAGTCAGGTGCCATGGGGCAGAGGCAGGCTCATGTATTACCAACATGGCCACTGGGGGCAGTAAAGAGTCAGTTCGCCAGAATCCAATTCATGAGCCAGTTTTCACTAGTTTAATTTCTAGTAGTCATCTAACTTTAATTGCCAGATTTTGTTTTGTCCACTCAACAGCATTTTTTTTGAAAATGTTGGATTCTGTTGAATTCAGCTCCCTGCTTTTGAGCTGGAGAGAGAGGAGTAGAGAGCAGGGGATATCTACTCTATGTTCATGTCCTTAGTGCTACGTAACTCTCTAGTTCCCAACCTTGTCAAAATTATTAAGGCAATGTAGAAAAGGCTGGGGCGGGGGAGGGGGTGGGAAGACTTTTATGCTCTCAGGGAAAAGAAAATTAAGAATCAAATTGGCAATTAAGGACACTTTATTTATTTGCAAGCTTAAGATCTGGATTGAGAGTTTACCCCCAGCCTAACCTAATATCCTTTCTCTGCCTTGCATAATTTAGTATGGAAGCTACAGGAGCACGCCTCTTCTGTTGAGTCTGGTATCCTTTGCATGGCACTTTGAGGAAGACCAAACGTGGGGGTGGGGATGCAGCAATGTCTCTGTTACAGGTTAAAAAGTGATTAACATGGATATTTCCACCCTGGGCTCCCCGATCCCCACCACCAAATTATGTTTTGAAAAAAAAAAGAATGGGAGAAAAAATAGATCCAGGAAAGGGATAAGATAAACAGGAAAAATCAAGAGTTCTATGGGGTTAATGGGCCAAGATTCAGAGACTAGAGATGGTTTGGTTGGTTGGAAACTGGAATATTTAGAACACCTGGTATATTAGTGTAAGGTGAGAAATGGGATGCAGAGCATGAGAAGAAGGTGAAAGAGGTTTTTTTTTTTTTTTTTCCTGAATGGAGAATGTATCTTTCCCTGCCCTTAACTTTGACATTTCCTCACAAGGTTGAGACAACATTAAAAATACTTTTATTTTGATCATTGACCTGTGTCTTTATGACTGTGCTACCTCAGACCATAGGGCTCCTTCCTCCACAGACCTGGGCTTGCATGGAGGCCTTATCATCATGGGAGCCAAACTAGGGCTGGCCTTTTTCTGTTCTGATGATTTTAACTGAGACCGAGTTCTTGGGAGGCAGCAAAGGTATTTGGGGATCCTTGATGTAGTCTTGGACCCAGCTGTCATTGGGGTTGGCACAGACTTCTCGGTTCTTCTTGGTGACAAAGCTGTGGAGGCAGAGTTATATGTCATGGGCTGTGGAGCAAGAAAGGGGGACCAGTCCACATGCCCCCTCCAACTCTCACGGCTCATGTCCCCTATAGTCTCCCTTCAGCTCCCCTATCTGGGTCCCCTTAGACCTCTCTAGTCTCCATCCTCCCCTCTCTTAGTCCCTGCCCCATTCAACCTAGACATTCAGGCTCGGGTTTCACAATGGCTGCCATTGACTGAAAACACAGGCGTAAGTGGCAAAATCAGGAATTAAACCCTGGTCCCTGAGATTCAAAGCCCAAACCCTTGGCCACTCCCTACTCCACTGCATGGAGACCTCTTGGTCTTATGCAGCCCATTCCTGCCCCAGGGTTTCCCTCCCATTTCCACAGATGTCTTGGCAGGCAAGTGCTTACATGATTGCTGGCAGGTGACAGTTGAGGGCCTCTCTGTATCCTTTCACCAGTTTCTGTGGCAGTGTTTTCTCATAGTATGTCACGCAGCAGGAGGCTTGAATGTTCAACCCCTCAGGGTGTCCTGAAGGAATCACATTGCAAGTTGAGCCAGTGAGATCAAGAGGGAGACCAAGGCTGCTTACCTCCATCTCCCATGGATCGCATGCCACTCCTCTGATCGCAAAGCCACCTGTTTGCAGCTTGATGGGTGATAGGGAAAGAGAAAAAAATGAAACCCTCCAAGGACACACATGGGAAGCCTTCAGCCTCTGAACTAAGTGTCATCTAAATACAAATGGCGCAGAGACTCATCTTTGCTAATGAAACTGGCTTACTTGTGATTCAATTTGGCAAATATGTATTGAGCTCATGTCTTTCTGGGGGGTAAAATGACAAGGCCACCACAAGCCAGGGTAAAAAGAAAGTGAAACATCAAACACTACCATAGAATGTGGTCCAAGGCAGAACAGACTTTGGGACAAGGTGCTGTGGAAACAGAATGAGGGGGACTGAGCCCAATCTTGGTGATTGAGGAAGTACCTAAAGCAGGAGGTGGGTGCCTGGATTGGTTTTCAAAAGATGAGTAGGATCTAGACAGGCAAAGGGTTTGTAGGATGTGGAAGAAAGAAAGAGGCCTGAGGTTGGGGGATCTAGCCATCGCTGAGCAGTTTGGGGTCTCTGGAGGGAGAGGAGGGGGAGGAGGAAGGATGAGGAGGAGATGAAAGGGAGGGAGAGGGATGGGACACACACTGACCAAATCATGGTGAAATCTGGGCTCCAACCTGGAGGCATTAGAGCTGCTGAGGTAGGGAAGAGGGTGAAAGAGGAGCCATGACCAAGAGGAAAAAGTGTACGATTCAGGCCTCAGAGTCAGCTGGGATCAGAATCTTGAATAAATGATTTGAATCATGAGCAATTTTCTCTCTCTCTCTCTCTCTCTCTCTCTCTCTCTCTCTCTCTGTCTCTTTGTAATATTAGGGATTGAACCCAAGGGTGCTCTATTACTGAGCTCTTTTTAAAATTTTATTTTGAGACAGGGTCTCACTAAGTTGCTGAGGCTGGTCTAGAACTTGTGATCCTCTTTTCTCAGCCTCCTGAATTGCTGGGATTACAGGTGGGGACCATCATATCTCAGCTATGTGTAGTTTTCTTAATCACTCTAGGTTTCAGTTTTCTCATCCATTAAATGGGGATAAAAAATACTTAAAAAGATCACCGTGAGGATAGTTGAGAAGATGTCTGACCCAGCCCGGCCACAGAAAGCTCAGTTGGTGCTCATTAGAATATCATTGAGAACAAATGGTAGTAATGGCCACTCTTCTTGCTTGGAAACAGCTGTTTTCCTTCTCTCTGAGGTTTGCAGGATGTTGGACTTGATAGGTTAGTGATCTCTTGAGCTCCCCTGACTACTTGCCAGTTGGAGATACGACCCAGGAAGTCAGGCCAGAGACACTCCCATCCCCCAAACCCGCAGAGTGCCAGTAAGTCCTTCTGTGTAGTCTGACCCTGTGTTTCCAACCAGTGACAAACTTTGGGATATCTCAAGAGCGCCCTTTGGCTGATCCATGTTTCAGGAGGGCTATTTTCTTTGAGATCTGAACCCACTGCATTGGCCTGACTGATCTTCCCAGAGGACATGGTTGTCCCTTCCCACCCACCAGACACACACAGTTCCTCCATAAGTGACTCTGTGTACAGTTCTTTTATAAGTGATGTTCCTGTCCCTGGTTCTCAAAATAGAGTTTACAAAGACCAAGGTCAGTCACCCTGAGAGTATGTGGACAGATTGCATGATGCACTTGACCTTTGCCCCTCTGTGTGTTGATGCAGGCCCAGCCAGGCCAGACCACAAACTTTGGGAGAAAAGATGGGCTGTGGCCACCCAAGGTTTCTGCATAGAAGGGCTGAATGTCTTTGTGCTTTTCTTTTTGTCACTAGTACTCATAAATAATGGCAGAGGCAGGGGATAGGGAGTGGACAAATAGGTCCCAATTCCCCCTCTCTTGAGATCCCAAACCTTTCAATGCTCCTCTCTTTGGTCTTTGGTGGGATAGGAGTGAGAAAGGGGGGCACAGATCTCCAAATAGCATACTTGGCCATCCCATGGAGACTCATTTTGTTTATCTGGTAGTCCTAGTAATCCATGGCAGCCGCTGCAAGGAAGTGGGGTGTCTAGTTCAGACTCCCCACTCCTGGGCTTGGACCCAAGTGATGGCTTCTGTATTCCTCACCCTCATTTCACTTGCCACACTTACTTACTGCACTGCATTCTCCTCTACTCCTTACTCTTCTTTCCCTGAGACTCCTGCAGACTCCTCAGGAAACCGAAACTCAGTTTCCTAGACCTGCCCATCCCCAGAAGGTTCTAGATCAAGCCCAACTCTACTCACACAGGGGAGGAATTGAGACCCATAGCTGGGGCGAAGGCTGGGAGCGGTCAGAGAGCTGACAGTACTCTTGGTATCCCCTCTCTGCCTGCCACCTGTTCCCCTTTCTCATCCCTGCCTTACGGGGACCAAAGGACTCACTTGGCTGGAAGTAAGAAGCCAACGTGGTGGCGAGGATGAGGAGAAGGAGGGCAGCCACAGAGACCTTCATCTCTCAGCAGGGCAGTACAGCTCCAGGGGACTGCTGAGTGGAGGTGTCCACCTTGCTGCTGGTCGTCGGTGCTCCCACTGCTCAGCTTTCTGGACTCTGACCACTTCAGGAGCCGGTGGAGGAGGAGAAACAGCTGCCTCTGTTTTGGCAGTGGAGGATGGGCGGGAGCTGATGAGTTGGCAGGATTTGAATTCATGTGAGGGGATGATTGGAGGACTGTGTGGCCAGGGGCCACTGCCCGCCACTTTGCATGCCCCATTCTAAGTAATCCTCTCAATAGTGAAGAAGTGATCACTACTCCAAGGCCGCTGGCGCTTAGAGACGGGAGGTCGCAAGGGTTGGAGGTGAATGGGTCAGCAGTACCGAGAACCAGATCTCTTTGCTTTCACAGTGTCACCTACCACCATCTCTGGGTTGAGGAAGGAGGCGGGGTAGAGCAGTCCCAGTTTGCCTCTGGTGACTGGTCTTTGGGAGGGTGAGCAGGGCCCCCATCCCCAGTCTGAGGACACCTGATTGAGCTCAGACTCTTTCTTGTCACAGGTTATGCTACTAATACTCTGATAAAACAGTAAGCCTGATACCTGAGTTCCCATTTGTTGTTGAGGTGCTTGGTTTGTCTGTGTTCTTATTTATCTCTTTGGACCTTAGACTCTGAAGTGTTTTTATATTTCTAGTTGTTGATGGACCTTTATTTTATTCATTTATTATTTTTATGCAGTGCTGAGATTTGAACCCACTGCCTCACACATGCTAGGCAAGCACTCTGCCATTGAGCTACAACCCCAGCCCTCCGGAGTGGTTTTTAGGTGCAGCAGCAGTCTGGGTTTTCCAAATACAGATTCATCGAACCCTGCCACTGTGGCCAATTGTGACCAGCAGAGGCATTCCTACGCTGTGAACCTGACAGGCAGTTTCCATGGTCCTGAGTTCACTGGGACCTGCTCCCCACCCCCATCAATCCTGGGCTCTGGCTGAATTTGCCCCACCGCGTCTTTTCTCTTTCCATTGCCTCAAGACCTGGTCCCAGGTTATGGCAGCAGTCTGTGAAGAGAAAGAAGATGCAGGGGATTTTACTGCTAATGGACTGCAAGCTTCAGAGGCCTAAGGGAAGAGTCAGGAGTTGAGGGCAGCAGGAGGCAGGGCCCCATAGGCAATGTGCAGCTCCTGGGGGCGCCTGCTGTTGCTGTGACTGCTTCCAAATAGGAGACACATCTCATGCAATGAGTCTTGGTGGGTCCCAGGCAGTCAGTGGTGGTAAAACTGTGACATTTTCCTAGGAGAGGGAAGGAGGGTCTGTGAGGTGCTCCCTTGACCTCTGTTCATTGGAAGTGAGGGGGTCTGAGGAAGCCTGGGTGTGCCTTTAGCCCACTGGTCCCTGCTGGTCGCTGCTTTGGCCCACACACTCTTGTCTGTGAAAGGCTGCCGGCCAGGGCAGGGCGGTCATGGTCCCTACACCAGGCACGCTCTTCCTCCAAGTACACGAATTTCCTCCTTAACCCTGAAGATAAATTTAGGAGCCTATTCTTGGGGCGCAGATCTCTTGATTCCTGTCTCATTTTGTCCTTCCTTCCTTCCTTCCATCCATCCATGATGCATCCGTTCATCCATTCATTTAATGAGCACCTGACATGGGCCAGGCTTTCTGCTTGGCCTTGTGGGGGATACAAAACGGAGTAAAGCAAACAGTATAAACTGGTATATGTAAGTGAAGAGGGAGGAACTGTATAAATGTGAATGACTCATTTCTATCCCAGTCAGCAGCAAAGAAAAACATGCGTGCACACACACACACACACACACTCTGGAGTCTGACTATTAAGGAGAGGGTTTCATGAAGATCGGGTAGTGAGTCTTAGCTTCTGTACTTGTTGTGAAGCTTAAATGAGATGGTGCAAACAGGCTGCTTAGCAGGGTGACTCGACTGTGGTAAGCACTGACAACATGGTGCGTGTTACCCCTGGCACACAGGAGGTGTGTGAGGAGGTGGCTTCACCCTGTGTTTCTCTCTTGCTTTCTGCTCAGCTTCCCACTACCCCACTTACAGTCTGGACCTGTTTTCTGGACTCTGGCAAAACTTGTGCACAGTGAGACTTGATGCTGAGGTGCCACACCCAGCTCAGCTCACTGGTGTCACCAGTCTCCTGCCAATGGACAAATTCAGTAGAAATGAACGAGGGCAGGGAAAGGCATGAGGGGTCTTTAATTCAAGGCAGGGCAGCTCCCAGGGGTGGTGGGGGAAGGTTGGGGTGGAGGGGCCTTGGCCTCTTCTTTTCTTTCGGCTGAGCTGAGCCCTTCTCCAGCGCTTCTGGATCACTTAGCTGTCCTCCAGGTCCTTGATACAGTCCTGGACCCACTCATCCTTAGGGTTGGCACAGATGGGGTGCCCCTTTTTGGTGATGAAGCTGTGGAACAATAGGGAGAAGGATTACAAACCAAGGGGTCCAGTGGCCAAGGAGAAAGCCCATCCTCCCTCCCTCCCAAGTCCCTGCTGGGCCAATCCCATCTCTCCTTCCTGTGTTAGCAGCAGCTAGGGGCTGGGTTCTCTTCAGAGACATGCTCTTCAGCCCCTGGGGCTCCAGCACGTGTAGTCTCTGTGTCCCCCTCTTCCCCACCCCCCGGAAGTGATCTTGTGCCTCCTCCTTTCTCCTGATGCCCCCCCCCATCAAGGGGCCAGCATTCAGGTGGCTCTCTCAGCAGGTTTCAGTCATTGAGTCCCCGGTGTGCCCTCTGGCTGCCTCTCCCTGTGTGGACGCACCTGGGAGGCCTTGTAGGAATCCTGTTCCTCTCCAGCCCCTCTCCCCAGGCTCTCCCTCCCCCAGTGTGGTGTGTCGTTGCCACCTACACAATTCCGGACTTGGGACACTCGCTGCTGGTCTCATAATAATCTATAATCCGATGACGCGGGAGTGTGTGGGAAACATAGGTGAAGCAGCACTCTGAGGGGTTGTAAGGTCCTCCTGAGGAGAAAGCAAGGGGCATGCTGAGGTGAAGCCTCCGTCAAGGATACATTGCTGCTACTCCTGCAAGGAGGGAGGAGACAGCCCCGCTGAACTTGGAGGGAGGGCTTTGGAGAAGCTCATCTCTTCTCCCTCTCCTTAGCATTCTTCAGCCCCTTTCCTCCACCCCACATGGGAAGGTCAGCTGATGACGTCCAACTCCAGGCTTGGAAAGCAGTGAACCCCACCTTCTCATTGAGCACACTAGGAAGGTGGGGTTCACTGACTAGGAACTGACTCACAGGGAAGGCTAGTGACTGGCCCAAGATCATGGGACCTGAGCTCCTTACTCAGAAAAGATGCTCCAACTAGGAGTACTTGGAAAAAATGCCAACAGAGCTCAAGAGACATGTCATTTGGGATGCGGCTCCACCCAGTCCCTTGTCCTGTCCCCATTAAGCCCATGGACTGCAGAGAAGGAAGAAGGTCCACACCAAACTCTTGAGGACAATGGTCATGGAGTCAGGACACCCCAATTCTAACCCATCTTCACCTTTTCTATGGGCGGTGACCATTTTATTTTCCCTCTCTGTTTCCCCCACTGTAATTGGACTGTGTCGGTGGACTTTACACTGAGCTTTCTTTGGCTATATTGGGGGAACTGCTGAATTTAAGAGCAGTGCCCTAGGGATCTCATTTAACCCTTTTTCCTGTATTATATACTGGCTTCCATGGAAGATTTTGCTTGAAGAAAAAGTTTCGTGGTCTAAAAGTTCTAAAAATCACTGGATTAGTTGACTCTTCAGCTATTTTCTGACTGTGAAATTTCACAGCTCTTATAAGAGATGCAAGGGAGTGATAGTGAGGTCACCTCAAACTTGAATTCCAGGGGTAGCGGGAAGGGCCCTGTACGAACAATCTCATACTGTGGTTATAGAGTCAAAAAATCAGGTGTGTGCATGTGATGTGCCCAAGCTGGACAGAAACATGAGTGGGCACTGCAGTGGCATCAGAGGTCACTGGATGTCGGGGCAGATGCTTGGGTAGAAAGAGAAAGGTCTGGTCCTGCACCCAGCCCTATGCCAGGCAGCATCCTCACTATCCAAGGAATGGACTAAGGGATCCCTGGTCCCTAACGCCCACTCAGGGCTCTGACTCTACCACCTTTGTTCTCTGAGCTGACAAATGACTTTTCAAAGAGATCAAACTGTCCATATTTGCCTCCATTAATTTTCAACTAATTTTATTTCAACAACCTTCTGCATTCCCCTCCAGTTTCTGAAAACAGAAACAAGGTGAAGTCAGGACACCCCAATTCTAACTCATCTTCACCTTTTCTTTGGACTGTGACCATTTTATTTTCCCACACGGTAAGTGAGGACTTTGGACTGGGTCAGTGGATTTTACACTGAGCTTTCTGTTCTGGGGGCTTCTGTGGCTATATTGGGGTAACGGAAGGGCAAGGAATGGTTTTGGCTTTCCGATAAGGCCGCTCATCCTAAGAATTAAATTGCAAAAGGGTGGCCCGGACAGGAGCCCCCACTGTTGTGGCTCTTCTAGTCCATACCCAAGTAATACTGCACTCACAGGGCATGGGTGACACCAGAAATAGGTTGGGCGCAAATCTCAGGGTGAGGAGGGTGCTGATAGACAAAATGGCCTTGAAGGGTTCCAAACCCTGCTCCTAACCTCCCTGGGATAACACCACCCCCCTCCCAAAAGCATAGGCTGCTTTTATGCTTATTGGCAAAGAGAGGAATTGAGGGAGTGGAGAGGAAGGCTGGCCTACATCTTGGCCTTGAGGAGAAGGGTCCTGGAGTGAGTAAGGAAGACACCAGTTTAAGAAGATGGCAGACCCCCTACACCCCACCTCTCCAGCCATCTTACTCTGCTTATTTTCCCACAGGGACTGGATTGGAAGGAAGACAAAGTGTTGCACTCACGTGAGGAGGATGCGACCTTGGCCTCTAGGACAACAGAGAAAAGGAGGAGGAGGAGGAGGGAGACGGTGGCCATGGAGAATTTCTTCAGGAGGAGAGCTGGCCTGCTGGGGGCTTCCGAGGCTCCTGGGGTGAAGAAGTGTTGAGAAATGATCACTGAGGCAAATATATATGTATGTATGTATGTGTATATATATATATATATATATATATATTTTTTTTTTTTTTCAAATAAGGGAACTGAGATTTTGAAAGAAAGCAGGAAGCAGCAGATGACTCAGCGATTTCACATCCTGAGGATTTGTTGAGGGTGGTGTGAAGGATGCACGGAGAGCCAAGATTTCAGGCAGGAAATTGCCTCCCATCCTCAGCGGGAATAACTCCTCTGATGTAAGCCCTTGCCCTGACGTGGGTCACAAGATAGGGGCTGGGGCACTGTCTCAGCCTCAGCCAAAGATCTCAAGGCTGGGATGTGTCCTGTGCCCAATTCCAGTTTCAGGTCTCCTAATAAGGGCAGGTGGGGCGTGATGATTCTGGATCTGGAGACCAGAGGACATTTGGGATAGTGAGTTGAGGTCTGGAGTCTCCCTTCATTGATCAGAGCCAGGACTCCCTCACCTAAGTTCTGAAGCAGTTCCCAGCCTCATCCCCATCCCCCTCTCCACAGGGGGAGGATGTGTAAAGAAGAGCAATGATGCTGAGTAGATAACTCATTTATGGAATGATGGCTGCACACCATAGCCACTGTCCCAAAGGCACTATGAATTCAGTCTTTATAACAACAGTTGAGGAGACTGAAGCTCAGAAGCCAAGCACAAGCTTTGACACTTGATAAGTGGAGCTGGCATTCAAACTCAGTCTGGCTTTGAAATCTGTGTGCTCTAAAGAAATATGGTCGCCCCAACTAAACTCTCCCAAAATGTCCAGGCTGGCTTGGGTTCTCTATAAGAGCTTTAATTTTAGCCCCTTCTGAGCTCGGGGAAGGGATCCCTTTGGCGCCTCCTCCTGCTTTCTGACTTTTGCTCCAGAGAAGCTTGGTGGAAAACTTGGAGGATGCTCACTGCAGGGACAGCTAGCAGGTTTTATTGATTAGTGGTGAGCGGGAGCCCTGTACTAGAAACTATTCTGAGGCTGTGTCCAGGTCCTCAGGAAGAAGTCCTGTGACTGGTGTGTGTGGTCTCTGTGCAGCTTGTCCTCTGTATACCTGCCATCCTTAGGTTAGTCTAAGCTGGCCATTGACCAAATGGAAACCAGGGATAAGACGAGGCCAGTGACTTCTCATGTTCACACAGTGACTTGGATCCCACTCTGCAGACTCAGTCTACTGGCCCTCACCATGCTCTTCTTGGGGGGCATTTTGTCCATTTTGCTTGCTGTTGTGGTTACGTAGCTGTTTAATCTCTTTTCACCTGGAATCATCAGGGCAGGGAACATCCATTGTTCATCTTTGTCCATTCATGTAAGAGATGATTTATAAATGCATGTTTTAAAGGAAAAATGAATAAATAAATCAAACCAGGTTATTCATGTGTATGGTATAGGAAATGGCTGACTTCTCAAGGTTAGGTGTGGAGACAGTCATTAATTTTCTTTATTTGTTACCATTCGTAACTGCACTGTTTAACTCTTCAAATAAAATGACAACAGTTGTCATTAGGAACAATCTCAGGAAACAAGTTGTTTCTGGGGAGAATATGAGTTGGGAAGAGAAAGTGTTCACTCTTGTTTTCATGAAGGTCTAGCCCACCTGCCCAGGAAATCCCTTCATTTTTCCACCAGTTATGGAGTTCTGAACTGCATCATTCTGGATATGCTAACTGCTCTACTAAACAACCCAGGGGATTAAACAAAATGAAGGCTTATTTTTTCCACATGTCATGGTCTCATGAGGTCAGCAGGGGGGCAAAGACCTGTGTGTTGGGGAGAGCTATTTCCTGCGCTCCTTCAGGAACCAGGGCTTTTTCTATCTTGTGATGCCACCATTTGCAGCCTAAGTCCTCTGAGCTTATGACCAAAAGGGAGAGACCAAGGAGGATTGAGAGATTTTCATGAACCAGTTCTGGAAATGATATAAAATTACTGTCACCCACAAGACAGTAATTTTAGCCAATATCAAACCACCTCACTCCCACCTGATGATAAATGGGTTGAAAATACACAACATTATGACCAGGAGGAAAAGGAATATAGTTGGTGACCACATCACTTTTTTTTTAAAAAAATTATTTTTTAGTTATAGGTGGACACAATATCTCTATTTTATTTTTATGTGTGGTGCTGAGGATCGAACCCAGTGCCTCACGCATGCTAGGCGAGCGCTCTACCTCTGAGCCACAACCCCAACCCCTACATCACTTTTTTAAAATGTAATTTTATGCCATTCTTTGGCCTTTTCCTATTCCTACTGAATCAAATTTCAAAGGGTGGAACCAGCAGTGTGTGTGTGTGTGTGTGTGTGTGTGTGTGTGTATGTGCACGTGCGTGTGTGGGTGTGTGTGTGGGTATGTGTGGTGCTGGGGATTGAACCCATGGCCTTGTGCATATGAGGGCAATCTGTTTTTTAATAATGATTCTTATGCCTGGTAAGGTTTCAGAAGCCCTTATCTGTGTAACAGATTTCTAGCTGCATTATATTATTTTCTTTCTTTCTTTTTTTAAAAATTTTATTTATATATAACATATATAGAGCTCAATTTTTCATATCGCTGGTTGTATAGATAGTATACTCACACCAATCTGTGTCCTCATACATGTACTTTGGGTAATAATGATCATCACATTATATTGTTTTCTTTAGCCCTTAGACAATGTAATTTAGGCCTGGGGAGTCCCAGACTGTTTGCCTCCAAGTCTAAATAGCCTAATCTTTTTAGTCCAGTGTTGTATAATAATTTTGGAGATTTAGTGATGAATTAGATGTAATTTTTATACCCAAGTATTATATCATTTTTTCATTTTCAGTCTCCTCTATGGATTGAGGTATTTTTAAAGTACAGCAATTTAATGTGTTTTCTTCTCATCGTTTTCCTAATGTGTAGCACAATGGATAACATAAAATAGCCACTCAATAATAATTTGTTTGAGTGACATAAATATCTATTTTAGAATTCCTGAGAAAGGGGTGTTGGCAGAAGAAACTTGTGTGGAATGACTTGGCTAGTTCCCACTTCAGGGCAGCTGGGAGCAGGGTTTGCACAATTCTCTAAACCAAGAAGGAATCTGCCGAGGGAGTCTTCCAGAGGGGATCATGGGCCAAGCAAGAATTGTGCAGTTCCCCAGCTCACAAAAAGCCCCGCCCCATCCCTCAGTTTATCCCCCAGATGTTAATCTGACCACCTCAGTGAAAGCCTGGCAAATGCACTTCTCCTTTCTCCCCATCCAGCAGAACCAGAGCTCCTATAATCAGAATTTGCATTTATAGCCAGAGAACTAGGGACTTCTACTTATGCTGAGAATAGCATCATGGGGAGAAAAGCAAGGCATTTCTGAAGACCCTGCATGGTCCACCAGTTAGCCCACCTACCTGCTATCCACACCTCTTTAAGTGCTGTCTCTAAGCAAGGTCCTAGGACACCTGCAGAAGAATCACCCAGGACACTAGTTTAAATTGAATGCACTTGTGCTTTATCCCTTCTCTCCAATCACTTCCCGCCAATCCCTCCCCATCTGCACCAAAAGTCAGCTGTCTGAGGTCAGTAAAGAATTCTTGGAAATTAAATATAGAAAGAACAATACTAAAGACAAAAGAAAATTTCTATCACACAGGATAAAGTGTAAAATATGAGGGAAAAGTTAAGACTCATAAGGGATAGATGCACAAAATCCAATACCCACCGGTTGTTCTAGAAGCCTACGATAGCATGAATGGAGAGAAGAAAATAAGGAACCCACAGGAAAAAAGTTGAGTTAAAATAAGGCTCAAGCCTTCAGAGTAAAAGGCTAATTAAGGGAATAGCAGGGATGATGAATAAAGGACACATTTAGATACATTTTGGTAAAATGTCTGAATTTCAAAGATAAAAGGAAATTTCCTAAAAGTTCTAAGGATGTATTTTTATTCAGTTAATAATAAATCAGCTGGCTTTGGAATTTTGGTGTTATATGATATAGGAGAAGATGATTGAGCACTGTCTACAGAGAGAAAATGATCTTGAAAGAGGACTTTCATAGTCAGATGAGCTATCAAAAGGTTTTGACCCTCAAAATCCCAGAAAGTTTATTGTTTGTATCATTTGGAGTTCCTTGTTGCAAAGCAGTAGAATATGACTCTGGCTGATTGAAGCAAAAGAGAAATTTATCACTAAGATTTTGAGTAGTACCCAGAAATATCAAGAAAGCTTGAAAAAATGGGTAGACACCTAAAGAGAGCCGCTTGATTGCCACAGCCAAAATGATGCACCGGGAGTCAGTAGTGTGGATACTGCCACCTCTGCTGGGCACTGAAGCTAGCGGTGCCAACCTCCAGAACTGGGCCATGAACATGTGTGCTGGCACCACCACCTCCAAAATCTGTTGCCACCACCACTGTCACCTGGGTGGATTCCCTTCTTCTTCTCTGCAATACTGGAAGGGAGCATCAGAATGATCAGATTTGCCTGCCCTGGTCCCACAAGGCAAGGGAGGGTGCTTGCCTTTCTCATCTTTTCCAGTAGGAGGCAGTAGGAGGATATATTCTAGTAAGATGAAAAATTCAAGAGGGAAGCTGTGGGCCACTTGTCATAAGATAACAAATTCGGAAGCATGGTGAGAAAAAAATCCTTGTAAGCCTTTTTTTTTTTTTTTTTTTTTTTGCAGGTCTAGAATCATTTCTGCAGACTGGAAGAGGAACTCAGAATGATCTTGAGGAATGTTTCCTAGAATGAAGTGGTTGCCAGGCAACCACTTGGTTGTGAATCTTCAGGTACAAATCAAGAATGATAATGAAACAAAGACCAGGATCTCTCTTTTGGTAAATAGGAAAAAATTATGAGCTAAATAAGAACCTTTCAAAAGATTACTGTGGGTCAGATATTAAATAAAATTGTACTGTGATTTGAGCAAATGGTGGAGGAGATTGTAACCAAGCCTTCAAAGATTAGCCATTTCAGAAGAGGGGAGCTGAGACTGGTGAACTTGTTTTTTATTTCTTTGGGGCTCAGCAGTTCTTTCAGTTTTATTTCGGTTTATTTCCTTCAAAAATCCAAGCAAAGTTAAATTGAATACTCTTTATTAGATGCATTACTTTTCTAAAAAACAGAACAGAAAATTTCTTTAAAAAGTAGTTTGGGCAAAAAAATTCACCGGAGGTGCTTGGGCAAGAGAATTGGGGATGGGATGGCTGGCCATTCTGTCCTTTCTTCTTATGCAAGGTTCATAATTCTTGGATCCTAGGATGATGGATTGTGCTTCAGTTTTTTCATGCACTCTTGAACTGATGGATCACTGGGTTTGGCACAGACATGTTGCCCCTTGTTGGTGAGAAAGCTGGGCGACAAGAAGGCGATTATGAACGGAGTTGTCTTCAGCAAGTGGACCCAAGGAGCCCCATCCTCCTTACCCCTGGGAATCCCCACCCAACAGTCTCTTCTTTCCATTCTCTGCAGAAGGCAGCTCAGGCCCAGAATCCTCTCTGAGACCCTCCTCTGCCTGTGAGACTCCCTGGGGATTCATGGGAGTGTCCTTGGGCAGCCTCCTGCCTGCTCTCTCCTTCCTTCCCTCTCCTCCCCTCCACTAGGAAGGTCTCATCCCTCATGCCCTGCAGGACCCTGGTGAGGACACAAGTTGTCCCTTACCTGGCAAGATCCAAGGGTGGGACTATTTTAGACACCCATCCCTCATGCCCTCCCTCCAAGACCCTGCAGGCTCCCTGGCTCCTGACACATGATGGGTGAGATTGACACTTACATGACACCTGGCTGTGAGCACCCACTGCTCGTTTCAAAATAATCTTTCATGAATGTACACCGGATACTTCGTGTAATATATGAGAAGCAGCAGTCAGCAGGAGAGTTAAAGACTATAAGTGGAGAAAGGGCTATTTAAGGGACAGGTCTTTTCTCTCAAGAGTACCATGGAGGGTGCAGTGAAGAGTACCAAGAAGAGGGACCAGCATTCAGAAGGGATGCTTCTTCCTTCTTGGGCAGCACTCACTGTCATCTCCTTGCTTCAGAACCCCCACCTCAAAGTTGAATTGTGTGTCTGAAGGTACCCAGGTGGACTTATGGCCACGACAGGGGCAATAGCATTTTCTCAGAAGGGGAAGGCAGCTGCAGGCACCAGAGAGCACCCTGTGCCCCAGCTGGGCGGGCTCTCAGGACTGCCAGGTGGGAATAGAAAAGGCATCTTTGCAGGAGGTACCCATGGCCCATCCTGATCTTCCCTGGAGATTTCTACATACCCCAGGGTCCTCCAGATCTCTCTCTGCTCTGTAAATATGGTGGATGAAACCATAGCACGGGTCTTGCTCATCTCCTGCTTTTAAATATATAACACAATGGAATATTTACCTTTATTAACTAGTGGAGGTTGAAACGGATGCTCTCTCTCCAAGAGTTCTCTTGTTTCTGGATCTGAAAGAAATAGAAAGATGGGGAGAGAAATAGCTGGGAGGCAGCACCCTCTCAGCATCTCTGCTCCTCTATTCCTTGCCCCATCCCAAGGTAGAGAGGTTCTGATCCTGGACCACCGTCACCTGTCTGGGTTTAGGCCTGTCTCAGCCCTTTTGTATCATGAGTGCTCTGGGCCCTTTTGAAAATGTTGGAGACATGAAGACTTTGTACTGACTCTGAAATGCTAAAAGCAAACTGCAAGTTGAACATGCTTCTGGAATCTCAGGACTCTGGAAACAGCAAGTTTTTCATCTACTCATTTGGTGGCAATGTCCCTTGAAGTGATGTGAAGCTACTTCCAGTCTTTATTTATCTAACTTAGTATAAATATTCCCTAAGTGTTTGATTAAAATATGCTCCCCAGAGACCACCAGAGAGGTTAGGTAATGTCCAGGTATCGATGACTTTTTCAAAACCAGAAAAATTTTGCATTTCAGAAAACATCTAACTCTAAAGATTGTTGGTAAGAAATTGTGAACCTGCATCATTCTAATTAGGCAAGTGCAACTTAACTTCTAGCTGGTTTCTTAAATAGTTACAATTAAATTACATTTAATAAGGCATTTGGGCACTTCTCTACATGTTTGATATGATGTGGGTAGAACTGCAATGAAAATAAATAAATAAGATCTGAGCTGGGAATGGTGACTCACTATCATGCCTATAGTTCCAGAGACTTGGAAAGCAGAGGAGGAAGATCGAAAGTTTGAGGCCAGCCTCAGCAACTTAGTGAATCTCTTAGCAACTTAGCAAGACATATTCTCAAAATTAAAAAACAAAAAGGACTGGGGATATGGCTCAGTGGTAGATTGTTGACTTCAATCCAAAGTGAAAAAAAAAAAAAAAGAAAAAAAGAAATCTGAAATAGCCTTATCTTTCCATAACTACTTCTGAACTAGCTCATATCCTGATTTCAACAATTATTATCTATGTGATATTAAGCAAGTTATTTAAGGTTTCTATACCACAGTTTTCTCATTTGGAAAGTGAGAGAATATAATAATGATTACAACAACAATAATAATATACAAACTATATACAATTGCTTAAGTCTTACTCTTTCGTTCCCTACATGAATGGCAAATTTACAACTTGTTCCAACTAATACCTAACCCACAAAGTTGTTTGGAAGACTCAATGTTTAAAGAACAGTGACGGCATGGCACATAGAAAATACTAGATAATATGTTTGTTAAATAAAAATTAGAATTGTTAGGTGACTGCTAATCATGCTTTTTATTTTTTAATTTTTTCTCCTTGCATCCTGTGACATTTTAACTTCTTAAGAATCTTGACAGCTGGAGAGAGAGCCTCTCCCAGGACTGGTCAATTTTTAGAGACAGCAAGTGTTTCAAACTGACTAATGCTGAATGCTTCTGCCCAACCACTTCTTTGTCTCACTCTCAAATGCCATGCCAACATGTCCCCTGCCCTAAATCATTCTACAGCCAAGTACCAGACAATGAAAGACCATCATCACTATATCCAAAGCTTTCTGGACGTATTCAACCTATCCAGTCTTAAACAGCACCCCCTCCTTTGTCCTGAGTTCTTCTCAGAAACCTCATAAAGGCTCTGGCATAGGTTTCTCCTCTATCCTTCTTGTGCCCCCTGGCCCAAAGCTGAGGTACACCACGGCCCTGTGCTGCTCAGTGTACCTCCCTCTCTTGGGAAATGTAAATAATACATTCTTTTTTTTCTTGGTACCAGGGATTGAACTCAGGGTCACTCAACCACTGAGCCACATCCCCAGCCCTATTTTGTATTTTATTTAGAGACAGGGTCTCACTGAGTTCCTTAGTGCCTGGTTTTGCTGAGGCTGGCTTTGAGCTTGAGATCCTTCTACCTCAGTCTCCCGAGCCTCTGGATTATAGATGTGCATCACCACACTCAGCTGCATTCTTTTTTTTTTTCTTTTTTTAAGTGGCATTGGTCTCTCTGGAGATTCAGTCACCTTCATAAATTAAAATTCCACATATTCAAATGAGAAGGTGATCTCAGGTGAGTCACTTACCTGGCTAGTCCCAATTCCTCTGAAAATGACATTTCTACAGTAGATGCTATATAATGGTGCAAACATCATGGGATTCTATACTTCTTTCCACAAATTTATATTTTAATGATGGTTCTTTCTATCTAGCTAAAATGCCAGCTAAGAGAAGGTATCCAATAATTCTGGCCTTGCAAAGGAGATAACTCTTTCCCCAGATGGAACCAATCATCTCTGTGCAGTTTCTCTCAGGGATCAAGAGCTGCAGACAGAGTCAGGGAGGGCAATGATGCCCTCTGCATCTTCTCCCCAGACCAAGAGTTACCGAGGACCTGGCCACTGGTGAAGGGGCTCTCCAGACTCACCGGGTATGACCTGGGCCTGGGATCCAAGGGAAGCACCAAGAATGAGGAAGGAGAGGGCAGCTGCAGAGACCTTCATCTTTCCTGTGGGCAGGCAGAGTTGTTCTGAGAAATAAATTTTGATCTCCCTGATTTGCTGGCCTGTCCTTATGTGTATCAAAGGAGGAGGATCAGGAAGTCACAGGACAGAGGTCAGAATGCTCTCCATTGGCTCATTAATAGCGAACATGCTATTTCTATAAGACAGAAAGAGGCTGAGAACGTAACAGGAAGTAGAGGGCAAAGGTGACATGGGGATTTTCCAGCTGTCCCAGTATACAGGCACAGAGAAGAACTATTTCAAGAAGGATTCCTCTGTTAGGAGACTCATTGGTTCCTATAAATCTGACCACAGGGTGAGGGCGGGTGTCTCTGTCAGACTTCCTGACTCAGGTTGGGACTTGGTCGACACTGTGCCCATTTCCAGTTCTCTTCTGGCCCAACCAGAAGGGAATTGAAACTTAGGAGCCAGTCCAGTTGGCCACTGGAATGAAGAGCAGGAGATTAGGGGCCAGGAGATTCCTAAGCTCTGATGATCCCAAGGCCTAACCACTGCACCCTGACTCTCAAGTGCCCTAAAGCCTGAAATCAGGGTACCCTCCAGGAGGCATGCTCTGGCATACAGCCTTGGCCTTGTGATTCATCATTCAGAATCTGCCAGGGGCTTCTCATGGACTTGGGGCCAACATCAAAGTCTTTGTGTGCAGAAGGCCCTGAAGACTTGGGTTCTCTTCCCACGCACTGCCCCTCCACTTTCCAATACAATGACACTTTAATGCATAATAACTTCAACAGCTTAAAGTGAATTTTTAAATTTAGATTTTCTTCTTTAGGAGAGGACCTATATACTTGAGGACCCCAATAGTTGTGCTTAATGGATAAATTGGTGCCATGCTAATACTAATTCCTACTAACTCATCAACTCTATTCAGGAAGGTTTCTAGGCCCTTGCTCCCTCCAGGTTGGGCCAGGTGTTCCTGCAAAGTGGTTCCACAGCATCTGGTATTCAAATCCCATAGTTACAGTCATATTCTATTTCTAAGGCTTTTTTTTTTACCTAATTCCCACCCCCACAGCTGCCTTCTCCTTCCTCATGGGTGTGGTTAAAAGAGCATAGGTGATCCATTCTCTTAACAAAATTCCCAGTGCACAGTTTCAAGGTCCTTGGATATCTGCAAGGATGAGGTAGTTAACAGAGAATAAAGTAAAACCAGAGGTGTGAGTTCCCATGTGCAAATGCAGAATGGTGATAATGAAATAAAGACAAATCATTTTCTTTTGGTTAATAAGACTGAAAATTAATGGAAAATTCTTAGAAACTAAGACTTGCATGAGATTCTCATGGGTCAGATATTAAGTAAGTTGTGTCATTTGAGCATGACCATAGTATGATGAAAGATGCTGTTTTCCAAACTACCACAAAACCTTAAAAATACTAGCTATTTTGGTAGGGAGGAGAAGATGAGACATAATGTGAATTTGTGTCTAGTTTCCTTGGGTTATAAAAATCCCCAGTTTTTGTTGTTATCTCAGGAATTTTTTTTTTTTTTTTGCAATTTGTGACTCACTGCTCTAAAAGTTATTTCCTCCTATTGATTTCTTAGGCAAATCATACTAAAAGTAGACATAAGTTTAAAACTTTTTCTTTTTTTTAAATATTTATTTTTTAGTTTTCGGTGGACACAATGTCTTTATTTTATTTTTATGTGGTGTTGAGGATTGAACCCAATGCCCCACGGGTGCCAGGCGAGCACACTACAGCTTGAGCCACATCCCCAGCCCTAAAACTTTTTCAAATAGAAAACATTTTGTTGTAGTTTAGAATTCAGTGCTGTCCTTTGAATTTTATGAGATAGTAACCAAGGTGTACTAATTGTAAAAATAAGCTTATATGCTTAAATAGAGGTGTACATATATTTGATAGCTACTCTCTTTAAAAGTTTTGTTTTTCTTTTTTTGCATCATTGGAGATTGAACCAGGCCCTCTATTACTGAACTACATCCCCAGCCCTTTTTATTTTATTTTGAGATAGGGTCTTCCTATGTTTTCCAGACTGACCTTGAACTTTCGATCCTCCTGCCTCAGCCTCCTGAAGAGCCAGTTTTACAGGTGTATGTCACTGTGACTGGCTTACATTGTTTATAAATATCCTTTAACTTTAGAGGAAAAGTCTTTTCAGAACTTATGTATATTAATAAAAACAATTAAAACTTAGAAATAGGGCAAAGGATAAGTGCATACCTTCCTATGTCATCCTGGAATGTTGCTAACAGCCGCCGCACCCCCCCCTGGATTCCTGTAAGTGTAGAGGATGGTAGGAAGGGGGTTGATGTTCCACTTACTATTAACCAGGTCCCAAAGTTTATGAGATAACATATTAACTTGAAAATTTTGACCAGGACACATGCAAATGATTTCTGTCCCCTAGAAGATAGCCCTAAAGGGGATAGGTTTATGATCACTCTATACATAAGTACTAATCTATCCCCTAACTTAGCAAACATGTTTTAGAATATCATCTGCAATTAACTCTATAAACTCTATTCCTCCAGTGATTTTTGGATCAGTTTTATGATTCCATCACACATGGACCCATAACATGGTTTAAATACACACATTCAATCTATATTTGAATGAGTCATGACTTTAGCTATTTAAAAATAATACTATGATATCTCTTGTTTCAAAGATAATACTTATCCTAAGATGAGTAATCCCCTCAGTTTCCTCTTCCTCGTAAACTTCAAAATAAATGAGTAAAGTAATTGGATTTTGCTCTAGAACAACTCAGTCCTGGTGTATGAGGACTGGCACTGGGTGCCGTGAGACCTGAGAGACAGACAGATCGAGCATTAGAGTGCAGTTTACTGGGGACTCACTGATAGATGCAATTTGAGTCAGAAAGAGAGGCAGGGAACTGGGTTTGGAGAAAAGAGACTTCATTGTAACTGGAATGTACCTGGTTTACCTTACACTGACGTAAGAGTCAGGCATGCTCCTGGAGCCGGACTCTGGTTGTAAAGCTCCACATATCACTCTAATGGTTTTATCCTTTTATACCTTTCTGGGAAACTATGCAGGAAAACCCAATTTGAGTTGTTCTGGGGCAATCATGGTGGTTATAACTCAGGTTCTGCCATCAAATCAGGCTAAATCCACACAGATGCTGTTTATTGTTTACCAGATGCGTTGCTTTAACACCAAACAGAATACAGACTTTTTTGTTTGTTTGTTCACTTGTTTTCAGTAATTCAGGCCAAGAATCTCCCAGGAGGTAGGTGGGTTGAGGGAGTTGGGGGTGGGGTGGCTGGCAACTTGTGTTCCTTTTCCTCAGTTGATTTTTTTAGCTCCAGATCCGTGGACAGTTATTTTAAGTTCAAGTTTGCCATGCACTCCTGGACTCCCCCATCATTGGGGTCGGCACAGATTCGTTGTCCCTTCCTGCTGAAGAAACTGGAGAAAAGTGGGGAAAGGATTACAAAATGAGTCGTCTTCAGCAAGTGGACGCAAGGAGCCCCATCCTCCTTACCCCTGGGAATCCCCACCCAACAGTCTCTTCTTTCCATTCTCTGCAGAAGGCAGCTCAGGCCCAGAATCCTCTCTGAGACCCTCCTCTGCCTGTGAGACTCCCTGAGGATTCATGGGAGTGTCCTTGGGCAGCCTCCTGCCTGCTCTCTCCTTCCTCCCCTCTCCTCCTCTCCACTAGGAAGGTCTCATCCCTCGTGCCCTGCAGGACCCTGGTGAGGACACAAGTTGTCCCTTACCTGGCAAAATTCAAGGGTGGGACTATTTTAGACACCCATCCCTCATGCCCTCCCTCCAAGACCCTGTGGGCTCCCTGTTCCCAACACATGGTGGGTGAGATTGACACTTACATGACACCTGGCTGAGAGCACCCACTGCTCGTTTCAAAATAATCTTTCATGAATGTACACCGGATTCTTCGCCGAGTATATGAGAAGCAGCAGTCAGCAGCTTCCTGAAGAATACCTGCAGGCAGAGAAAGTCCATTTGAGGGCCAAGTCTTTTGCATCAGGAGTACCATGTAGGTTGCTGTGAAGGGTTCCATGGCGGGGGACCAGGGCTCAGAGGGGATGCTTCTTCCTCCTTGGGCAGCACTCACTGTCATCTCCTTGCTTCAGAACCCCCCACCCCAGAGCTGACCTCTGTGTCTGAACCATGATAGGGGCAGAAGCATTAGCCCTGGAAGGGGAAGGCAGCTGCAGGCATCACAGAGCACCCTGTGCCCCAGCTGGGCGGACTCTCAGGACAGCCAGGTGACAATAGAGAAGACATCCTTGGAGGAGGTACCCATGGCCCATCCTGATCTTCCCTGGAGACTTTCCCCACCCTCAGGCCCTCCTATTCTCAGCCTGTCCTGTCAACAGGGTGGATGAATCTCTAGCATAAGTCTGAGCCCCCCTGCTGCTTAGAAATATGTCCTATTTGGTCATTTACCGTGCTGAATTGGAGACTCAGTAGGAATCCTCAGAACTTGTCTTTTCTCTAGATCTGAAAGAAGCAGACAGATGGGGTGGAATTTACTGGGAGACAGCACCATTTCAGCATCTCCACCCACCCCATTCCTCACCCCATCCCAAGGCAGAGAGGCCCCGATCCTGGAACACAGTCACCTGTCTGGGTGTAGGCCTGCCTTAGCCCTTCTGTCTTCTTTTTCCCTGCGGTTCTTCAGGGCCCTTTTGAAAATGTTTGAGACACAGAGACATTCTACTGTCTCTTGAATACTAATAGCACAGTGAAAGTCAAATATGAGTGACTTCAAGGGATCTATTCCAAATGTGATGAAGTCCACACTCTTTCTTTTCTTTTTTTTTTATTGGTTGTTCAAAACATTACAAAGCTCTTGACATATCATATTTCATACTTTAGATTCAAGTGGGTTATGAACTCCCATTTTTACCCCATATACAGATTGCAGAATCACATCGGTTACACACCCACATTTTTACATAATGCCATATTAGTGACTGTTGTATTCTGCTACCTTTCCTATCCTCTACTATCCCCCCTCCCCTCCCCTCCCATCTTCTCTCTCTACCCATCTACTGTAATTCATTTTTCTCCTTGTTTATTTTCCCATTCCCCTCACAACCTCTTATATGTGATTTTGTATAACAATTAGGGTCTCC